ATTGCATTGATGGCATTGGTTCGATTGACGTTTGCCACTTTTGAAGCACTGAGCATCCAGAAGCTTGAGAATGTCTTCCTGACCTTTCAGGCCATCGTGAAGTTTGTACTTGAACACCAAAGCGGCAACCACTTCCGCCTTCCACACCTCAACAAGGACACTATACACCGCGCTGGTACAGTGGGCAACGGGAAAATATCCCCAGTGGTACAGCTTGATTTTTAAATAGGAAATATAATTACCCTCACGAAATATTTGCAGTCAAGCTCTTGTCGAATTGAAGAGCATTTCATGCTCAGCCACGACCACGACGACCAGCAACAAATACTACAATACTTTTGAAAACTGCAAGTACTGTATGTCGAAAATGGCTAAAAATCCACAATTTCTCCTTGCAGAACTAGGGTTTTGACCAATAATATGCATGTATTGCGTTTTTTGAGCCAATGGTAAAGTAACATGTCAGTGGCATACGACATGTATCCGACAAATTCTGGCAACGGGATTGGAAACCGACAGGAGAGAAATATTTGATTGGATGGGGAAACTATAAAGAATCGCATTGGTCGATGCCAATGTCGGTCAAGCACATATCAAGAGTTTAGCAACATAACACGATGTAATTGGTAAAAAATACGTCAGCAGTTTCATATCCATCATTGTCGAATATGCCGCCGAAGTCCTCAGTTCCTGCAGCGTCCAAGTAGACGATTGAAGAGTCATTCCGTGGTACATCAACAAGGCGAGCGTATGCAACATACCAAAAGCAGTTCGAGTCCTATCTGCAGGTAGAAAAAGCAGGTATTGCACCCGAGTCAGCAGGCACAGAGGATTGTACAGACTTTTTCCATTACTTGTACACGAATGGCAGAAAAGCACGAACAATTGACCTTGCGAAATCCGCACTGGTGGCATTCTTCAACGACAAGAACGTGTCACCCAACCCAGCGCAGAACAGTAATGCCTGCCGGTACATTGTTGGGCTACAAAAGTTCAATAAGCAGAACTATGTGGACGAAGAAAAGAAGGCCTACCCATTGACGGTACATGAGCTCTCATCTCTCATGAATGGCCTGTCGGGTTACCACCCCTTTGTCGGCGCTCTCGTTCGACTGTTGCTTGCGGCTGGCTTCCTTGGGTGCTTCAGAATAAGCGAAGTTCTAAACCTTCGTGGCAACGACGTCCAACCCGTGTCCGATATCAGCGGTCGGTACTTGTCTGTTCGTCTGCGGTGGCACAAGAAAGCCAACGTTGAAGAGATTGTCAGATCTACCACCTTATCGACGAGAAGTCGTACCCTTGTTTGCGAGTCTGTGCCTTCTACGATGAATACTTGGCATCCTTGCGTGCCTCTGGTGTGAATCTTGTCAGCTCTGCGTACTTGCTCCCAAACTTTTTGCTCCTGGACAGTGGAATTCCAAGAGTTGACTGGCATCGGCCGCTGGAACAAGCCACACGGGGAAGCAAGTGCTTGTCGAGGTTGCCGAGGCCACTCCGAACCTACCAATTGGAATCACACTGCACAGTCTCCGTCGTGGTGGTGCATTTTACAGCGTATTCGAATCCATGGAACGTCGCTTCAACTTCCGTGAGTTGATGGCCTGGTGTCGTTGGGCCGATGCAAAGACATGCTGCGAGTACCTTGTCACGCAAAGCGTTAGCAATGACATAAACCCACGAAATCTGCTTCGTACCGGGGGCTCTCAGCATTGGCACGCTGGCATCGCTGCCGCTGGTGTTCCGTTCTCAACCGATGATCTCGGCGCGGCGGTGGCGAAAAGCCTAGATCAGAGTCTGAGCTCTGAAGTGCTAGAGAAGACACCGACAAGGCAGCTGACAATGGATGCTTCCATAGCCCAGAAGACAATTCCAACGGCACGTTCAGGCCTTCAGGCGTGGCAACAATGGTTCGTCGCTGACCCAGGTGCAGGATTGGTCTGTGCCTTGAAGGACTACACAAGCGAAATGATTCGAAACGACCGCAAGAGGTACTGAGAGCGTCTCACATTGGCTGGGCGTTCTCAAGGTATTCCACCTTTGAGCAGTTCGATGCGGCTTACGCAGGGTTCACAAAGTCCTACGCCCGTCTTCTTAAGGAGGTTCGCCGTAGGAAGAGATTGAATGCATTGTAAAGTCTTACTCGGAGCGCAGCTCCTCACGAGCCAAGCGAGTCGGCGCGAAGCGTCTAGCCTCGCAGGGCCGAAAAATATTGTATTGGAATTTTCAAAGCTGTTTTTCGTGGGAACAAGGACGAATTAGGCCGTTGTATTGTGTGGAACTGATGTACCTCGGCCTCAGCTTCATTTTGGTCCATGTTTCATGTTCCAGAGTGCAC